AGCAGATTTGTTATCCACCCAAATGACAGTAGCTTTATCTTGAATTTTCCCCACATCTAATAAAATCTTTCTCAACCAAATAGCCTGATTTATAACAGTTGTAGTTGAAATATACTTAGCTTTAACTGATGATTGGGCCACAACATTCTGTTTCTTTGAATTCCAAGAAAAAACAACACTACCAAATGAAAACGCATATCTAGAGGTGCTTTTAGAATCATTAATACTTCCTGCCCAATCATTATCTGCATATCCTTGAAGTTCTCCACTTTCATTTTTTAAGAAATACAAATCATAATTATTGTACTTCTTATATATCTCAAAACTCTTTGTGCTGCACCAAAATGAACTTGACTTGGAGAATGCATAAATCTAAAAAGAAAACTTGCAGCAAATATTAAATCTGGTTTGGTTGTTGAAAGATACAATAAACTTCCAATTATACTTCTATAAATAGAAGCATCTGCACTATTTTCACCATCATTCTTTGAAATTTTTTCATTTATAACCAGTGGAGTAGAAACAGACTTGCATTTCTCCATGTGAAACTTCTTTAATATCTCCAAAGAATATTTTCTCTGTGAAATGAATATTCCATCATTTTGCTGAGAAATCTCCATTCTAAGAAAGTATTTCATTTCATCCAAGTTAGTCATTTGAAATTCTTTCTCCGTGTCCTTCTTAAATTGGTTTAAGGAATTTGATTCATTTCCTATAACCAATAAATCATCATCATCATAAGACACAATGAGTTACACTTCATTGTTTAACTTCTTCACATACAAGGTGGCTTCATTTTCACGTCTTTTGAATTCTTTTTGCAGAAGATAACCATCAATTTTGCTATACTAGGCTCTTGGTGCTTGTTTTAAGCCATAAAGAGCTTTATGAAGCTTATAAACTTTATCTTCACTTCTTGGAACCTAAAAACCTTCAAGTTGATCAACATATATGTCTTCATCAAGAAATCCATTTAGAAAAGATGATTTTACATCAAAATGATAAATTTTCTAGCTAAGCTTTGCTGCCAAAGAGATCAATAATCTAATTGTATAATGTCTTGCAATAGGTGCAAAGTATTAGAAAAATCAACTCCATATTGTTGGAAGTAACCTTTTACCACCAATCTAGCCTTAAGTTTGTTTACAAAACCATCAGGATTGAGTTTAATTCTGTATCCCACTTAACACCAATCATTTTTTTATTACTTGGCCTATCAACAAGTTGCCAAGTTTTATTTTTCTCAATCATCTTTATCTCCTCCTTCACGGTAGCTATCCAACTTTCAAATTCAGTAGCTTCTTCATACCTTGTAGGCTCCAATGCAATAGCATTACATCTTGCATAAATATCCTCCAAGGTTCTTGTACCTCTCATTGGAAATTTAGTATCACTATCATAATTCTCTTCATCATCTTTAGAATCTTGCTCTTGTAGAGTGTCTTCATCAAATAGCCCTTTACTTAAGCCTTCTACTTGATGTTTCTTCCAATTCCATTTTGAAAACTCATTAAATTTTATATCTCTACTAAGAATAATTTTTTTTTGTCTCCAAGTTGTATACTCGGTATCCTTTGGAGTTAATATTATACCCTAAAAAAATACCAACTTCACACTTATGATCAAGTTTATCACTTTTCACATGTGGAACATGAGTGTAACACACACAACCAAATATTTTTAAATGCTCCACTAAAGGCTTCCTTCCACACCATGCTTCATAGGGTGTTTTACCCTTCAATGCTTTGGTAGGCAATAAATTTAGCAAGTAAATTGAGGTATTTACCGCCTCAGCCCAAAACGTCTTAAGAAGACCCTTCTCAAAGAGAAAACATTGAGCCATTTCCATTACTGTTCTATTCTTTCTTTCACTCACTCCATTTTGTTGAGGAGTGTAAGGAACGGTGAGCTGATGTTGTATTCCAACTTGATCACAAAACTTTTTAAATTCTCCTGTTGTGTACTCAGTTCCATTGTCAAATTTGAGTTTTTTAATTTGACAACCAGCTTCATTCTCAACCAAAATATTAAACTTTTGAAATGCAACAAACACATCTGATTTTTTTTTAAAAAAAGAAACCCAACTCAATCTTGTAAAATCATCTATAAATAGTAAAAATTATTTGTTGCCATTTAAAGATGTTATGCTCATTGGACCACACACATTAGTATGAATAAGTTGTAATTTTTCCATAGCTCTCCAACTTGCTACTACAAGGAATGAAAATCTACATTGTTTTCCAAATTGACATACATCACAAACATCAACATCATGTTCTATGGAAGGTAAGTTTTGAATTAAGCCATTTGAGCTGATTTGTTTCAAGGTGGAGTAACTAAAATGACCAAGTCTTTTGTGCCATAAAATAGAATCATCTACTGAACTTGGAAAAGAATGCATAATAGGTTGCTTCCATTCTATTGGAAAACTCTTGTCTCTCATTTTGATAGACATTAGTTCACACCTAGAAGGATCAAATATGGTGCATTTCATGTCTTCAAAATGCAAAGTATAATTCTTTTCAAGAATTTGTCCCACACTTAGAAGATTTTGATTTATCTCAGGTAGGTATAAAACATATGAAATATATTTAGTACCTGAAGAAGTTTCTATAGAAATAACTCCTTTGCCTTTAACTTCAACACTTTCTCCATTGCCAATGGTTACTTTTGAGAAGTGAAACTGATCCAATTCCTTGAAAATACTTGCATCATTAGTCATGTGATTTGTGCATCCATTGTCTATAAGCCACATCTCCTTACTTCTATTTGCTAAATAACAAGAAGCAACAAATAAATGCTCCTTATTTTATTTTTCATGCTCAACAACTTGGGCTTGTTGTCCCTGTTGCTTTGTTGTGCTTTTGCACACTTTCACCACACAACCAAGTTGGTTGCATGCTCTTCATTTGACTCCTGGTCTAAATCATCAAAAAAATTTGTATGATTCTTCTTCTTAGAGTAAGAGTAAGGTGGATACTTGTCTTTCCAACCTCTTCCTCTATTGTTTTCTTCTTGTTTTTTTTCTTTTCCTTTCCTCTCACTAAATGAATTTTTCCCACAACTACTACTGTCTTGAAATTTGCCTATGGTATTAACCACAAAAGCACCTTCAACATTTTCTTCCATCCTCAAGGATTTTCTCTATTCAGTGGCTTGTAGAGCATTTACAAGTTCTGAAATTGATATATGAGAAAAATCCTTATTTTCTCCGAGAGAAGAGATTTTTGACTCAAACTTCTCCGGAAGACATGCTAATATTTTCTCCACAACTCGTGATCACTAAGTTCTTCACCCAATAATCTGATTTGTGTAACCACTTTAGAAAGCCTGTCAGCAAACTCCTTCACTGTTTCAGCTTGCTTCATTTTGATAGCATCAAATTCTCTTCTCAAATTTAGCCCCTTCATCCTCCTTGTTCTTCCCCTGCCTTGGAACCCCTCCTTGAGTTTGTCCCAAGCCTCTTTTGCTGTATCAAGATTCAAAATCTTGATAAAAACATCATCATGAACAGCCGCTTGTATGAATGGCAAGTGCTCTGCCTTCTTTAGCCACTTCATCATTGTGAAATCTTACCTAAGCCATTGTTGGGTTGTCTGGTAAAGGAGTTAGGTTTCTTCCATTTTCCACCACTTCTCACAAACTTTGAGCTCTAAGATAAGTTCGCATCTTTGCATTCCACAAATCATAATTTTCTCCAGCAAATACTAGAGGTGGAGGTAAGGAATTGCTATTGGAAGCCATTAGCTGAAGGTTTTTTTAGTGGGTTTCTTGTTGGTTTTCTCTCACACACAGAAACTTTGTTTTTCACATTTTTCCCTTTCTCCCTCACAGACCCTAAAAGATCAATGAAGCTATTGATACCATCATGAAAAAGGAATACGGAATGATAGTAAGAGTGGAGAGCAAAAACAAAGCAAGACAAGTTTTTAGTGGGCATTCAATTTTTCATTCACATTTTTTTTATATCAGCAAGTTACAATACAACAACTTCTTATATTACAAGCTTACTATTCAAAAAAATGCATACATTGTTGACTTAGTTGTACTACCCATTTTTACCTACTGTATATTTACTAAAAACATACTCCAAAACACCTATTTTTCACCTAACAGTTTCATATTGCAATTAAAGTCATCTTTTATATTGCAACTTCAACTATGATCACAAAAACCTCATAAACCTAACATTATTTACGGTCGTAAGTGTGTAATAGTGATTACCGCCTAATTTTTAAAACCTAATCTCATCTCACCTTGACTTTTTTTTAATATATCATTTTTTTAATTATTTAAATAACCTAAATGCATTTATATTTACCTAAATAACCCATTTAGAAATTTAGGTGAGAAATCGGTTACCCAGTAATCGATTTCTCAATGGGCCTATTTTTTTTTTTGAATTTTTTTTCTAGATTTCTAATTTTCTTATTTTCGTATTTTAATTTTAAATTTTTAGTTTTTTAAAAAATTTAGTATTTTTAAATAAAATAATTTAGTTAAGTTTTTAGAATAAGAATAAATAATGAAATAATTATTAACTAAATAAATAATGAAATAAATATTAATTAAAAATTTTAATAAAAGACAAAATATTTATATAAAATAATAGAAAACAAAATACAATATTTGGAAGGTTTGATCACATTTTAAGCTTGGTGACTTGAACTCCTTTGACGGTAAGGACATTTCTTCTTTGAGTGACCTACATTTCTGCAGAGAGAACATCTTCTTGGTTGTCCTGGTTCAACCATATCCATTTCAGTGAGTATTCTGGATGACTTTGGATGACCTTTTTTATTTCTAATCTTTTTCGGATTTGGTATGATTTGCGGTTCTTCACAATCCGACCAATAAGATTCATTGGGCAGTTCACCAAACAATTCATTATACACATTTGACACATATTGTAATGTGTATACCGGATCTATGTAAGATTTATAATAGTAGTGAACATGCCTACATGCAGCAACAACATGGGAGCATGGCATGTGTAGCTTTTAAAATTTCCCATAGTCACACCACTTGTCATGTAGTCTAACCATGAAAGTTCCAGTAGGTCGTGTTTCCCTTGGGTTAATGGTCTCTTGCACCAGAAAAATTGTACTGTGACGATCAAATTCGAGGACATGATGACTATTAGCCTTTGATTCTGCATCTCTCATGGCCCTATTCATTATTTCCGTATAAACTTGGCCAGCCCTAAGTTTAGCATCGACTTCCTTCCCCCTTTGGATGAATAAGGCATTACATCTCTTATAAGTCGACATGATGATTGCAGAAATTGGCAAATTTCTTGTTTTTTTAAGAATGAAGTTAATTGCCTCAGCCAAGTTGGTAGTCATGTGTCCCCATCGTTGGCCACCGTCCCATGCAAGAGTCCATTGTTCTTTTGGTATGGTGTTGAGCCATTCAATTACACCTTCGGTTTCTGGTTCGTTCCTTAGCGTGTTGTAGTAGTAATTGAATCTTGGCTCAGTCATCCCATAAGCTGTGAAATGAGATTAGCAAAAAATGAACAATTTAGTAATGTTGAAATATGGTGAAACAAATTAAAGTAATTATAGATGCTAAGTACATACCCATATTAATGATTAATTTTTTTTGTTCTGTATTCTTGAAATGCCTCATGAAGTTTTGAGCTATATGGAAAATACAGAACACATGCACTAAATTCTTGGGTGTCCAGCCAATGCCCTGTCTAGCGTAGGCATTTTTGATAGACTCGTGCCTGTCCGAAATTAAGCAAAGGCCATCTTGAGGGCAAACATGTCTTTTGAGATAATGTAGAAAGAAAAACCATGCTTCTGTTGTTTCACCCTCAATAATTGCAAAGGCAATTGGAAAGATTTTGTTGTTACCGTCTTGAGCCACGACCACATGGAGAGTTCCTTTGTATTTGCCATACAAGAATGTGCCATCAACTTGAACAATGGGCTTGCAGTATTTGAACCCATCGATACAAGGTTTAAATGTCCAAAATACTCTATGGAATTGAACATAATGATGAGCCATCTCACCTTGTTGGTTGTATAGTGGCCTTGTTTTCTTCTCAACAACAAATCCATTAAGAAATCCACTCATGGCACTGAGAAACTTGGGTAAATCATGGTAAGATTGTTCCCAGTTGTCATGTAAGTCTTCAATTTCCTTTTTCTTTTCCATCCAAGCTTTGCGGTATGAGATCGTATACCCTTTATCACTTTTGATGTGTGTTATTATTGTTGGAGTAGAAATGGATGGATCACTCTCCACCAAAGGAAGAATACTTTTGCTAATATATACATAGCCAAGGTTAACATGATCTTGTGTAATAATAGGTGATGAACAAGAATGTTCACCTGATAGCTTACGAAGCTCCTATTTTTGGCTTTTAGTAATAAAAGTCGCTCTGCACCTCCAATCACATGTACTGTTAACACAGTGTGCAAAAATTAATGTTGGTGACGATTTCTCCACCCTGTAATACAAACCTTTCTTTATATGGTATGCATTTAGAACATGTTGGACTTCCTCCTTTGTGTTGAAAGTCATGCCTTGAAATAGGCTGTCAGGAGAGTACTCGACATCAACATGGTCAAGTGCATGTCTATACTCTGGGTCAGTGAAATCTTTTTGCAAATCAACATTATGCATGTGTGAAGGAAAACTGAATGTGCTTACGTGCTGAGATTGTTGTACAAGACGATCTTGTTCATCTTGTTCATCGTCTTGTTGGAGTCTTGCATCATCTTCCCCCTCACTGAAAGGACCAACTTCTTCTTCAGGAACTCCAACTTTAGGGACTCCTTCCTGTTGTTCTTCTTGTTGGACTCCAAATGTAAGGAGGTTGGTAAAGGATCCATGTGTATGAAAATCATCTAACAATGGTTGGTTTTCATGATAAAAAGGTTGGTTTTCATGGGAAGAAGGTTGGTTGTGATAGGAAGAAGGTTGGTTATGATAGGAAGAAGGTTGGGTTTCATAGAAAGAAGGTTGGCTTTCATAGGAAAAAGGTTGGTTGTCATATGAAGAAGAAGGTTGGTTTTGATAGATAGAAGGTTGGTTTTCATAAGTAGAAGGTTGGTTTTCTTCTTCAGAAATAATTGGTGTGAGATCTGCATATAGTTCAGCAGAAGTAAGATGTTTAAGGGAACGAACCATTTGAATCATACCATGAACGTCTTCATCGTTAGTAAGCTTGACAGCCCAGAAATTAAGCATTCCTTCAGCTACCACTTGTGGATACCAAAAGTAAAGTTGACCAACTGAATATGGTTGTGGTAAGTTTAGTCTTCTTTGGATCTTAGCTTTCAACGCATCAAGTGTGATACGTGAACTAATTGATAAAAATATTGGGTTAGAGGATACAAAAGTATACCTTTGGTTTGTTTGAGTGATTTCACCATTGAAAAAGACTAACACACGGAAAGAAGAGGAAGACATTGTTGTAGACAAAGACTAACACATAGAAACAAGAAAACTTAGCTCAATTGAACTTTGCATTTGAACCCAAGAATGGTATCATTTAAATAGAAGGTGGAGATAAGCGTCAATCAATTACACTCAACAACCCTAAACACAGTCATCAATGACACACTACATCAATGACACACTGCATCAATGACACACTGCATCAATGACACAGTCATCAATGACACACTGCATCAATGACACACTGCATCAATGACACAATCATCAATGACACACTACATCAGTGACAGTCATCAATGACACACTGCATCAATGACACAATCATCAATGACACACTACATCAATGACACACTGCATCAATGACACACTACATCAATGACACACTGCATCAATGACACACTGCATCAATGACACACTGCATCAATGACACACTGCATCAATGACACATTCATCAATGACACACTGCATCAATGACACGGTCATCAATGACACACTGCATCAATGACACACTACATCAATGACACACTGCATCAATGACACGCTGCATCAATGACACACTGCATCAATGACACGGTCATCAATGACACACTGCATCAATGACACACTATATCAATGACAGAGTCATCAATGACACATTATATCAATGACACACTGCATCAATGACACTCTGCACAAAGTCATTAATTTTTCTGACGCTCTGGGACAAAGCATTGATGCTCTACACAAAACATTGATTTTTTTGAGACTCTAGTACAAAGCAATTAATGACATTGCATAAAGCATTCATTTTTTGCACTATATATACACTACATACGATCCAACCCTAAACACACAACAAAAGATCAATTTTGTTCAGCTATTGCACTATTGAATTTCATTGCTATTTTTTTTCAAGAATGCCTTCTTCATCTTCAACTATGTTGTGGAAACAACACCTCCATAGGTCAAATGAAACTCATCTTATGGTAAGTTATTATACATTGCATAATGTTTACAACTAATATTATTCATTACTAACATTTCAATTCTACCATTTTCACAAACAAAAAGTGATCAAGTGATTCAATCTTACTATCATTCCATGCCTACACCTGATCCAAGAATTGAGCATTTTTTGGAGGTTGCTGGCTTTGGCGAGGTTGCGAAAATAAGACATTTTAAAATCGATGATTGTTTGATAACGTCGTTGGTGGAGAGGTGGAAATCTGAGACACATACTTTTCACCTCCTAGTTGGTGAGTGCATGGTCACTTTAGAAGATGTGGCACTACAATTGGGTTTAAGGATCGACGGCAAACCAGTCACATGACCAACTTTCTTTGACTGGGATAAATTGTGTTACGAGTTGTTAGGCTTCGTACCTCCGAAAGGGGAAGCTCTAATTGGCTCAAGCATAAAACTAAAATGGTTAAGAGACAATACAATTGCACTACCAGATGAACCCACTGAACAAAAATTGCTCCAACATTGTAGAGCATATATCTTAGGGTTGATCGGTGGTGTCATTATGCCAGACAAGTCAGGTAATAGAATTCACTTAATGTATTTACCACTATTGGCTGACTTGGAACGTGCAGGACGATATAGTTGGGGTTCTGCTTGTTTGGCACATTTGTATAGAGAAATGTGTAGGGCAATCTATCCATCGACAAAGAAAATGGGTGGATGTTCTTTGCTTCTACAGTCTTGGGCTTGGTATTGCATGCCCTCCATCCAACCAAGAGTCCAACGGGATATTACATTTCCGCTAGCATCGAGGTATGGATTATTTTTTATACCACTTTAATACATCGAACAACTAAATTTTTTTACCTAAAATTACATCAATGTACAAATGTTTTAGGTGGTCAGGAAGAGGGCTAAGATTTACAGGCACGCCCCATGGAGACTTACTTGGCTACAGATTAAGATATGAAAACATGAACCAAAACGAGGTAATACAATGTAAACTTCTCTCAAAAATACTCTCTTATACTCAATTGATTCATACCTTAAACCTTTTTCTTTTCCAGTTTCTATGGATGCCATATAGGGAATTTCGGTTCTCACTGCCAACACGTGCTTATAAGGATTCTAGAATATGGACTGCTTGTACTGCTTTAACTTCATTTGTAGTTGTAGTCTTGCATCAAATTGATAGAGTCCAATTTCAATTTGGCTTATGGCAACAAATCCCCAATGAAGCTCATAATCTTGATAAAATGCACGAAGTAGACATGAGAGGACATAGCGACACCAACTGGGCTGAACAACATGCAGACTAGATTTCCATTTGGAAAGACAGACGCAAACATGTTATTTTTGGGGAACCACTTTAGGGGCCTCTCCAACACACTCCTGAGTATTTACAATGGTTTCGTGCTAATTCTAAATTATTTCTTTATAGCCAGTATTCTTCATCTCATGCATCCACTTCTAGTCGCAACTCCCAACAACAACTGCAACAACATTCCCAATGGCTGGAGATAATCACCCACCTTATAGTGTGGAACAACATCCCCAGCCTTATCCATCATTTCATACCCACCATGAACAATTCATGTCCACCCCACCATCAACAACAACACCAACAGGGGACTTCATGAGCAATCTTTTCGGCGTCCACGTACACACGCCACAAAGTGCATATAATTACATGCAAAACATGAATTTCCCTTCATTTTCGTCTTATCACTTTGAGGTCGGTGAAAGTGGTTCGTCAAATCCAGTCACCGATATTGTTAATATAGAACATGACGAGGACCAAGTTGAACCACAACAACTACGCATTGGTCGTCGAAACCCAACAAGAAACCGACAACCTCCGAGGTGTGGAACAGGTGGGCATAGACATCATTAAAGTTGGATTGTAATTTCCTAGATTGTAATTCTGTTGTTTTTTTTTATTCGATCTCCTATTTTATTGTTGTATTTTGTTTTTATTTCAAGTTGTTCATCTCAATTAATGTTATTTTTATTTAAAGTTGTGATTTATCATAATATTTTCATTTTTAAAAATTCTATTTTAAATTAATTTTATTCTTTAAAATTTATTTTAAATACATTTTTATAATCTAAAATAAAAAAAACTAAATAATTTTTTAAAAAAATCATTATAATTTTTAAAAAAAATCTGAATATTAAAAACTGAAAAAGAAAGAAATTAGCAAATCTGGAAAAAAAACACACAAAAAAAATCAATAAAATAAAACAACAAAAAACAAAGGTTAATAAATATTTTAAATTTTCATTATAATTTTTTTTAAAATCTAAATATTATAAACTGAAAAAAAATTTTAGAAATCTAGAAAAAAAATATCAAAAAACAAAAAAAAAAACAAAAAAAAACAAAAAATGAAAAAAAAAAAAAATAGGCTCATTATATTGAGAAATCGGTTACTGGGTAACCGATTTCTTAAAGGGATTTTTCAAAATTTTCCAAAAATCCCTCTGAGAAATTCTCACCTAAATTTCTAAATGGGTTATTTAGGTAAATATAAATGTATTTAGGTTATTTAAATAATTAAAAAAAAATTATATATTAAAAAAAAGAGTCTCTCACCTTCAGCTATTATTAACAAACAAAATAAAATCAGGATTTTCAAGCAAAAATCTTGGTGTTAGAATTCCTCTCGCAGTAGGGTCTAAATTCTGGTGACATTTTTATATCTTGTGGCAGCATAATAGACACTCATAATCATAAGGTCAATATCCTTGTTATCATAGTATACAATGCCATATGAACGAAATTAAGAAGGTAATGACAACATTAGTTGCAACTATTCATCTTGCCGGCTCATATTTGTCAAATAGTTTTTTGGGGGCAATAGGATTAGGATTGTATTTAATTAGTGATGATTAATCACGCCAACTAGAAAACAAATAGTCCTTGTAGTATCAGTCACTCAGACCATTTCTATCTCCGGCCAAAATACCTGAACAGTGGAACTTTCTTGTGTTGAAATTTGAAACTATTCTATTCATAAACCATTTCATATTTACTACACCCATTTCTAGCAACAAAGCTGGTTATCTCACATTGCATCAAACCCCATATTCTTGCCGAAATGGAAAGAAATTCTATATGGGTAGCATTTGCCACATCCCTTGTGCTCCTAAACATGACCAATTGTGTGGAGTATGAGGTCAAGAAAACATTGATACAATTTCTGGCACAAGTCTCTGGTAATGATGGCCAACAGAACTCCACTTTGATTTGGAAACAAGACTCTGATCCCTGCAAGGACCACTGGCAAGGTGTGTATTGTGATCCTCAAAGCATGTCCATAAAGAGGTTGATACTTGATAGGTTCAATTTGTCTGGAACACTTGATGCTGCTATGCTTTGCAACTTCCAGCCCCTGGCTGCATCTCTCACTTTTCTTAGCCTTGATGGCAACAAAATTAGTGGGGTGATAGCATCTGAGATTGGAAATTGCAAACAACTCACTCGCCTACACCTAAGTGGAAACCATCTTTCTGGAAACCTTCCTAGTTCACTAGCCATGCTAAACAACTTGAAGAGACTAGACATTTCGAGCAACGAGTTTTCGGGTCCCCTGCCAAACTTGTCCAGAATCTCAGGGCTGAACATGTTCCTTGCACAAAATAATCACCTTAGCGGAGCCATACCCGCCTTTAATTTCTACAATTTTGACCTATTCAATGTCTCCTTTAACGATTTCAGTGGCCACATTCCAAACGTGCATGGCTATTTCTCTTCTGATAGCTTCCTTGGTAATCCTGAACTATGTGGAGATCCACTTCCAAAAAAATGTTCTGATCAGCCTATGCCTCTTAGTGCATCAGAAGAATCAAAGGGTCCTTCTAGAGAGCAGATTCTTATGTATTCAGGCTATGCTGCATTGGGTGTTGTCATTCTCCTTTTTGTAGTATTAAAGTTGTGTAGAAGAAAGAAGGGAGAGAATAAAATTGAAGCATTGAATGGGATGGTGGTGGTTGCTGATGGTGGTGTTGAAAAGAGCAGCAATGTTTCAAATCAATACAAAGATGGGGTAAGCAGGTCTGAGTTTTCGGCTACTTCAGAAAGTGGAACGGTTTCACAATCACTCGTAGTTCTTTCACGGCCTGCGACACATGAGGAAAGAATGTTTGAAGCATTGAAATTGGAGGACTTGTTGAGGGCCCCTGCCGAATTGATTGGAAGAGGAAAGAATGGAAGTCTTTATAAGGTAATGCTTGACAATGGGATAATGGTGGTTGTGAAAAGGATCAAGGATTGGACTATTTCAAGTTATGACTTCAAGCACAGAATGCAAATACTGAGTCAAGCAAAGCATCCTCATGTACTGTCACCCCTTGCTTTCTATTGCTCCAAACAAGAAAAGCTTTTGGTCTATGAATATCAGCAGAATGGAAGTTTATTCAAGCATCTACATGGTAAATACCATGTTTTCCTTTTACTTTTATATGTTAGTTTGTTTCTTTTTTGTTTTTAGTAATTATGGTATTTGTACGAAATAGCCTACGAGTGAACACAAGGTAGGTATTTCAATTCCAACATAGTATATTTCATTCCCAAGATCAAAATTCAAATCTAGACAAATTAGATAAATGATACAAGTAGCCAGCACTTGTGCCAACTAGTGTTGTTTTTAAACTTTTATATATTTTAGTTGCACTTTCTTGAATGAACAAGGAATACCTTCTCTTTCTAGCTAGTAAATTTCACACTTCCTTGGTACTGACTTTTTTTCTTTTTACGATTTTCAGGTACTCCAAAAACCTTTGACTGGACCAGTAGACTTGGGATTGCAGCTATAATTGCCGATGCATTAGCTTTCATGCATCAAGAGCTAGGCCATCATGGTATTGGTCATGGTAACCTGAAATCCTCCAACATTTTGCTAAACAAGAATATGGAGCCATGTATAAGTGAATATGGTGTTATGGGCATGGATGATCAAGGAGGTTCACCTTTTGCAAGTCCTATTTATGCTGGTGCATCAGATATCTTAAAGGGAGATGTTTATGTCTTTGGTGTGATTCTTCTTGAACTTCTTACTGGCAAATTAGTGAAGAGCAATGGAATTGACTTGACTGATTGGGTTCAGTCAGTTGTGAGGGAAGAATGGACAGGTGAAGTCTTTGACAAGTGCCTACTGTCAGAGTATGCAAGTGAAGAGAGGATGGTCAATTTGCTTCAGGTGGCTATAAGATGTGTCAATCGTTCACCAGAGGCTAGGCCAAGCATGAACCAAGTTGCTCTTATGATTAACACTATCAAAGAGGATGAAGAAAAATCCTTGATTTATGAAGTGTGATGTAGACTATGATGCAAAATGTTTATGCCTATGAAAGCATATAAATCAAACAAGAAGCTAGTGAACAGTCTCTTTCTCTAAGTGAACTTTTCTTATCCGTGTCCAAGGCATTTCAGCCTTCAAATCAGTTTCTGTAGAATATTTGTATGGTTCTATGAATAACAGAGCCGGAGCTTTAGCAATGTGAAACATTAGTGACAATCTCCTTGGATTAAATCTATTTGTTTATTGAATAAAATCCATAATCCTCCCTCAAGGCCCTTAACTTCTACCTTATATCGAAGTTCATAATTTAGTGATTACCAAAAGGTAGCCACTATACTGAATTGACAAAGTGTTTCCATGATTATAAAGTGTGCATTTGGTATTGATTTTTTAACGTAATTTCTTTTTCTTTCTCTATGTTCAAATGTCTGATTTACGTGGAAGCTAGTATTTATCGCTTCAAATTGGATGTGAAAAAACACATCAAGATGTGAATGCAAACACACAAAGATAATCGGTTTGAAGTCTCTAACCATCTCTCTAACATGTCGTGGAACCTTCACAAAAAGTGCCTCTTATATTTCAAGAAAGAATATTTTTGTCACTTATAAAAAGTCTATAAAGCGGTTTGTGTTAGTGGATATAAAATTATTTTTAATTATTAATATTTTTAAAAATATTAAAATTTCCTTCAAAAATAAGAATAATAAAGATAATTTGAAAGAGATGAGAGGTTAAAAAAAATTTCAAAAAATACTTTTTTTAAAACAATTATCTAAATATATTCTCTTTCAAAATTAGTCTTTAAAAAAGGTCTCCTTAAAAATATTTATTATAACTTATAAATATAAAGGGATAGAAGCTCAAGATAATGACTTGTTGAAGAAGGGTTGGATTCAAAAGATCCTTAGTCCTTGTGTTGTTCCTGTCTTATTGATGGTTAAGAAAGATGGCAAGTGAAAAATGTGTACAAATTATAGGGCCATCAATAACATTACTATTAAGTATAGGCATCTTATCCCTAGGCTTGATGACATGTTAGATGAACTTCATGACGCATGCATATATTTCAAAATTGATCTTAAAAGTGGTTATTATCAAATAAGGATTCGTGAAAGGGACAAATGGAAAATTAATTTTAAAACCAAATTTTGACTTTATGAGTGGTTGGTTATGCCCAAGGTTGTCAATCTCGAGAGTTTACGTAATCTCGTGAAGGCTCCGTAAACTCGTATCGTAAACTCGTATCGTAAACTCGTAAGAGATTACTCAATAAACAAAATTATAAAAATAATTAAAAATTATATAATAATTAAACATTTTAACTTTATATTAAAGAGTAAAATAACAAATTATATTAATAATAAAATAATTTATTAAATATAGCAAGATTACACTATTCTAATTTATTTATATATATATATATAAATATTAGATAATTTATAATACAAATAATTAACAATATACATATAAAAATAAAAATATAACTATTTATACATTAAATATTTTTAATAATAAAAATTTATAGTAGTTAAATAAAATAAAAAAATTAAGAAAACAAAATATTTAAGGTCTTATATTAAATTTTGTATTACTTAAAATATTATCTAAATTATAATAATAATAATTAATAATTAATAAAGAGAGGTTACTTTCTAAAAAAAATAATGAAGTAAAAACCCTCTTAACCAAATCAAAACAAAAAATAAAACTTGGCCCATTTGGCCCATATTCCAACCCTAATTATTTTTCCTGCAATGCAACCCTTCCTCAAGCCGTCGCCGCTGCCTTCCCTCTTAGAAGAAGACAGATCTGCAGATGCCGGGGAAGACAGAGCCACTGTCAGAGAGGATAGATCGGCGGAGATTCGTCGGAGAGGAGAGGAGACTCGCGGAGGTGTCGCGCGGAGAGGAAAGGAGACGCGCGGAGGTGTCGCGCGAAGGAGGTGAGGCGCGAAGGAGGAGAGCCGTGGAAGAGGCACTGCGGAGGTCTGGAGTGGAGAGGAGAGTAGGAGAGGTCTGGTCTAGAGTGAAAGTGCCCTAACACACAACACAAAACGTGCGTTTTGTGTGTGGAAAAAAAAAACGGTGATCTCTTAATATCGGAGGTAGTCTCGCGAGTTTACACGAGTTTACCCGAGTTCACCGAGATCGCTCCGAGTTCACTAAAAAACGAGTTTACCTCCGAGTTGTACAGGTAAGCTCTTGTAAACTCGTAAACTCCTACGAGTTTACGAGTTGTCACTAGAGATTGACAACCATGGTTATGCCTTTTGGCTTAACAAATGCACATAGCACTTTCATGTATCTAATGAATCATGTATTTAGGGATTGTAGAGACAGGTTTGTTGTTGTTTGCTTTGATGACATTTTAATTTATAGTAAATGCCTCGGTGAACATCTTGAACACATAAGGCAAGTTTTTCTTATTCACAGGGACAACCACCTTTATGCCAACTTGGAAAATGTACCTTTTCCAAAGAGAATGTAAACTTTTTAGGGTTTATAGTTAGTAAAGATGGTGTGAATGTTGACCTTGAAAACATAAAAGTTATCCAAGAATGGCTCAACCCAACGAGTATAGGAGAAAATATTTTTAAAATATAAAGAAAAAGTTACTCATACACCCATTCTAGCTCTTCCCAACTTTCCTTAAACCTTTGAGCTAGAATGTGATGCTTTTGGAGTAGGAATAGGTGTTGTGTTACTTCAAGAGGGTCATCCTATTGCGTATTTTAGTGAAAAATTTCATGGGACTTCCTTAAACTATCCCACCTATGATAGAGCTCTATGCTCTCATTAAAGCCCTCAAAACTTGGAAACATTACTTAGTGTCTAAGAAGTTCATCATTCATACTGATCACGAGTCACTAAAGTACCTTAGAGAGCAAGGAAAGTTGAATAAAAGGCATGCTAAGTGGGTGAAATTTTTAGAACAATTGTCATATGTTATCAAGTATAAAAAGGGGAAGAGTAATATTGTAGTTGATAACATTAAGGAATTATATGAGCATGATCTAGATTTCCAATCCTCTTATGCTCAATGTCTTACGAAACCTCTTGATGGGTTCTATATCTCTGAAGGATACCTTTTTAAAATGGAAAAACTTTGCATACCCTAAGGATCAATTAAAAAGCTCCTTGTTAAGGAAAGTCATGAGGGAGGTTTCATGGGTCATTTTGGAGTTGATAAGACTCTTACCTTTTTGAAAGCTAAATTTTATTGGAATCACATGAGAGTAGATGTTCAAAGGTTTTGTTCTAGACGTATAGTTTATTTACAAGAAAAGTGTAAGGTGATGCCTCATGGACTCTACACACTTCTCCATATAGCTTGCACCCCTTTGGTTGACATTAGTATGGATTTTGTGCTTGGTTTCCCAAGATTGCAAAGGGGTTATGATTTTATCTTTGTGGTTGTGAATCATTCCACAAAGTAGATGATGCTAACCATATCTCAAGACTTTTCTTCAAAGAAGTTATTAGATTGCATGCTATACCCAAGACTATAGTGTCAAATAAGGATGTTAAGTTCCTAAGTCATTTTTGGAGGACACTTTGGGAAAGACTTGGAACCAAACCTCTTTTCTTTACAACTTGTCACCCAAAAACTAATAGGAAAAGTGAAGTAGTTAATAAATCCCTATCCACTCTATTGACTATCATTTTAAAAGGCTACTACATGAAAGAATATATTAGTAGCATATATTCTTTCATATTATAATAGTAGAGTATGTTATAGGCATCATATTTGTGGCATTGTATTTTTGGCCTTCTAGATTAAGATTTTGGGCCTTACACCTTAATGAGCCTATTTTTAGGCTTATTAGGCCTTGTGCTTTATATGACCAATATTTGTCTTATTTTGTTTATTTTTTTTAAATTTATTTATTGGATTTATAGGCCTTGTATACATATTAGTATAGGTCTTTGAAGGTTTATGTAAGTTGCATTTGAAGTTAAATGCAATTTAGAACTCATTTGCATTACATTTGAGTAATACGCCCAAAGCATGCTCAAATCAAATGCAAATGAACTTTAAATTATATTTAGGTTCGTGCCTAAGAAGCTAGAAGCATGTGTGGTCCCTATTAGAAAGTTTTGGCCAAACCAATATGAATTTCAAATTGGTTTTGGCTCCAACTTTCAAATTTGGCCCACTATGTCTCCTACTTCTTTATATAAGTCTTCTCCCTTGTATTTGCTCTTATTTTTGATATATGAGAACTATAATTCAGAAACACTCTTTCTAAATTCTCTCAATTCTCTCAAGAGTCTCGTTGGAGAAACTTTTCCTTAAAAACTCTCCATAAGGAAACCTTCCTTGTGGATTGGGGTTCTTGCTTCATCTCTTTAAAGCTTTTGGCATGCCATCCTCTACTTTTTCCTCTTCTACTCTCATTTTCTTTTATTTTGTTCGATGGAAATAATTCTTGAAGCTCAAGGTCTTAGGAAGCCATTGGAAAATGAATGATACTTCATCCTTCAACTAGCTTCCCCATCAACCTTCGATCCAAATAAAATTACAACATCCTCCAACGTAATAGTGTACTCGCCAAAGGTCATGTGAAATGTATGGGTTTCTGGTCCCCAACACTCAACAAATGCAAATACTAGGTGGTGGTCAATTGGAAAATATATGATCAGTTTCATCCCTAAAAACCAACTCAATGTAGAAAAAGGTCAAATTCCATCAAGGATTATCCCATCACAAAATTCACCCTCTATGGCTCTCCTAATCTTTAATATCCTATCTTTTACACCATTTTAAATATGTTTAGACACATAATATGGTTGTAACTTCAGTAAGGTTTCATCAACAGGTCCGGGATGAACGATTTGTTGAGACATACTAAAATAATGAATAAATTTAATTAAAAAATTACTTATAATAATAAAAATAAATCATAAGAAATTTAAATGACCAAATATTTACTTTAACTACTATAATAAAATGACATATAATTAAATATGACAATAATAATTAAATACATGAATGTCTATTTCAAAAAACTTATATACATTAATAAAATGCATGTATGTCTATTTTAAAATTCTTCTACAATACTTTAAAATTATAAATAAAAAATTAACTTTTCAAAAATTATACACATTTTCAATATAAATATGTTTAATTTATATAATTATTTCTAACATAATTTAAATAAAA